AAAAAAAAAAAAACGCGTTGATTGCTAGATATGGAAAATGAAACAAAAAAGCATAATTTTATAATATCAATAAAATCCTCCTATGAGAAAAGAGATGAGTAAGTTGCCAAAAAGTAGCTCTACCGGAAGAGATGGATGCAAAAAACGCGATAACTTCGATCATCGGTATCACCGCATTCGCGCCATTTTGTTCCGAAATTCCAGCCGACGGAAACAATCGGGACAAGAGAAGAAAGCCAAACCCACTTCGGCTCACCGGGCGTTTTCAATTTCCAGGACCATCAATACGTCCCTCGGAATACCCCTCCCAGAGTGTTCCAATCTCTCTGGCTCCCAGAGCCCCCTCCTCTCTTCAACCGATACCTCTCTTTCTCTTTCGCGAGAAACGCTTCGGATCGACAAATGCTTTCTCTCTCTCTCTCTCTCTTTCTCTCTTACTCGTTTCTCTTCCGTTCCGATAGGTCCGTCGATGGCGCCCCTCGTACCGAAGGGGATGCTGCGTACATCTATCATTTTACCAAACCCTGCCGGCTTCACGGATACATCGCAGGAACAAATGAACGCTAGCCATTTTGATGGTTTTATGAATACGTTCGGTGAGGATGGAGAACGGGGCGAGAGGATCCGTTGTTTTCGACATCCTCCTCCTATATCGCACGAATCGACCCATCCTCTTCTTGCTGCGGTCCTCCCGACGAGTCTCCCTCTTCATTCTTCTGGCACCGAGACGGAGTCGCCCTAATGGAGCCCGTCGCCTAGGAGAGCTCGTTTCATTTGAATCGCGTCGGTGAATTAAAAATTCGCGTCAGTCACGATAGCTCAAGAAAGCGATCTTCTATAATCGGAAATAAGATGCCTTGCAACGATTCATCTTGCGCGATACGCATTCGTGTTAAAACGAAGCAAGATTCTCTAAGTGGAATTGATCGGGTTTTGCATTACGTTTGTTCCAGACAATAAATAAGTATGAATCATTGCCGAGTGATGAAACACATAAAGATATATGTGATCTAATGATTTGCAACCAATATTGAAAATATCTATGTAGAAATATTGATAAGAATAGCCTTATCTATTGTTACATTTTTAAACATAATTGCGCGTCTCTAATCGCTACAATGCTATTGATAATATTTTATTAATCGATTGAAGAAGTATGCGAAAAATCAATAAATAGATAAGTACGCGAAGAAAACCGTGACCACGTTTGCTAAGCACGAGAAAATTTGTTGTCTTCGCGACGAATGCTTTCCATCCTGAGTCGTTCGATCAAACTTCCTTTTTCCTACTTTCTAGATTGACGTTCCTCTAAACGCCTCCATAATTCATTCCCGTTTCGCAGCGAGACGGAGTCGCTCTAATGGAGCCTGTCGCCGCGACGTGCACCGATCATTTAAATCTTTTGGCTCTGGATTAAAAATTTCTACCAGTCATGGCGGCTTGAGATAATTGTACAACAGCAACATGCAACGTGCTTTACAGTAATTCACTTGCCTAGCTTCTTCCTAGTGACATCAATGTCGTTCTCGAATAGCACATGTTGACAAATATTCTATGTTGCAAGATCATTTATAAAATACTTTCATTGCTTTACACCTTGACTTTAGCTTTGAGGGTGGTAATTCTGTAAAGTTGTCTTTCAATAAACGATTTCAATTTCAGCGAATTATTCATATCTGTCGAAAGAAAGATCCAGAATAATGCAAATATAGCGTCCGTAATATATCAAAGATTAAATTCGTTAAAATTATACGGATTTTAAATCCGGGAAAAGTTATATTTAATTAAAAAAAAAAAAAACGCGTGATCAAATCTTCTCATTGCCACTTCTAACAACGCTATACCATTTTTGAGCCGCTGCTTGTCTTTAGTTAAAACAATTCTGGCCAGACGTTGGAACAATGCATGTCAATAATCCGTCGCGATGCAAGACAGAGAAGGAGAAGTCGAGAGACTGAGCTCTTCTTTGTTCTCAGCTGTTCGCGGACCGTGTCTCGGATCGATATGTCGGCTTTCGATCGGGATCGAGGGTCTTCCCCGTATTATTGGGCTCTCGAAGACGGCGGCGAGCCCCCACAAAGGTGGAACCCGCTGGAACAATGCGATCTTCGTAGAGGAAAAGGTCGATGGAGACGAAGCGGCGCATAGCGACGTCGGGAAAGAAATAAAGAAAGAAAGAGCGCCGACTACCGAAGGTCGTGAGAAGAAGAGAGAAGCGAAAGAAGCGAGGATGAAGAGAGGATGAGACAGAGAGGCAGACGAAGAACGTCGAGGAGTCTGATGGGTTACCCGCCCAGAACGTCGATGCAACGTCATTGTCGGTGACCATCGTATGGATGAGCTCTCGTAGGTTCGAATCTGCTGGATACTTAAATGCACCTCGTGTCCATCCACCGAAACGCGCCAAGCGGAGAAAAGTCGTCGCTATTGATAAACTTACATTGTACGAGAAAAATTAATCGGAATTCAATCAACGAAAAAGAGTTCTTCATAAATCAGTTCTAGTTTACATTCGAGTGATCGATAAATTAAAATCAACATTGTTTCAACACATCATAGATGATAACCGAGTAGTAGAAAATTAGAAATATCCGTCTTGTTATGTTAGCAAGAATGATGAAAGAAACTCTCTATTAGAATTTAAATTATGCTATTCTTGCTGTAGATGAAAAAATATTCTATTCGCGCGATACTTGTCAACACAATATATTATATTATAATATATTAAATAATAATAAATCAATTATTTCTGCAAAAATAAAAAAAAACAATTTTACAAAAATAGAGAGAGGATAGAAAAATGCTAAAAATATGGTTCGATTTATATCTGTAATAATATTAGAATATTATTATAAAATATAATAAAAAATATCGCGGCCAATCGATCTTCTGCACCACTAAAAAAAACATGTTTAGACTAAATTAGGAAAGCACTGCAGCATCTGTGACGCTGTATAAAGACGTGTCTCTTCGTGGAACATTGATATTATCGTGAATACATCGTGAGACAAAACGTCTGCTATCTCGATCCGGGTGTGCTTATAACTCGAGAAAGACAAGATCGAAGCCCGATATATGATTGGAATATCGGCCGAGATTATATCCGAGGACGCATGGACTCCTAATTTCTCTTTCGGTCTACCAAAAATGGTCGCTATGGATTGGACCGGCTTAGCGTCTCCGATCAAGATCGATCATCTACGAGCGATTACGAGCGCGGAAGCCACGCGCTAACTAGGATAAGATCGCGTATTAAAATTTTTTTAAATAAAAATGAAGTAAGTTTTATAAGAAATACATGTATGCCGAATGTTGATCTTTCAGGACGCGCGCCCTCCGAATAAGCTTTATTTAAAATGCAGATTAGAGATGATAAAGAGAGATAACCACCCTAAGCGCCGAATTCCACTGTTGATCGAACAAGCGGTGTCACTCTTGTTCGATGCCTTACGGTCAATTTCACGATTCGATACAAATCTATCTATACACGTAACACTGTATGTTTATGTTTCTCAACACATCAATTAGCTAATATAAATTGAAATGAATGCCAGCGTACGGCGCTTTTCTTAAATCAAGTCACCAAATTGATTTTTAATGATAGATAGAAACAAAAAAAAATGAAGAATAATATCCTGAAATGTTCTGCGATGAATGTATAAATACCCGGAAGCTAAATCTGGAAATCTTTTTCTTCTGAAGCATCGCAGAAAATGTCGCTTCCTATTCGTGCGATGCAATCGGTCGATGATTGTCGAGAGGCAGAACGAAAAATGCGCGACATCGCGAGCCATTCTTTGACGTACAGTGTATGCGCGCGTCCATAGCTTTCTATCTCCGATAATCATCCGGGGGACACAGGAAGACATCAATGGACCCGTTGGCATATGGAGAAACGAATGTTTAAATTGAGTCCAAGGAAGTAAACGCTTCCTTTTACGTGCGTGAAAGCAGAAAGCGGCGCGTTCTCGAGAAACAATTGCTCATTAGCCATTGCGATTGAAAGATCGAAACAACGAATTCGTTTCACCTTGTAATTTCGAAAAATAAATAAATTCGGAGAATCGAAAGCAAGATATTAACTAGAAAAAAAAAATGAAAAAGCTTCTTCATACCTTTTGATTCGTGGCGTTAATTGCTTCCAAAGCTTTCAGCTTTTCGATTTCGTCCGCTGATTGTTTTTCTGATGTAGATGATTTTTTGGCAGGCGTCGTGGCAGGTTCCACAAGCGTAAATCCCAAGTCCACATCCTGCTTCCAAAGAACCTCAATTAGGTCCATATCCTGAAATCAAATATTCATTGCCATGATATTATTAAAAAATTTATAATCCTCGTATTAATTTAATTAATTTTAATTTAAGTTTGTGATCCTCTAGTACGGCGATATTTTTAATATAATTAATATATAATAATAATATATTATTTAATTAAAATACCATACGTTAGAGGATTTCTTAGAGGAAAATATGTGTACTGTAAAGTACTTTTTGTTCATTATCTACAGATAGAAAATATGCGGGTTATACTTTAAATGCAAATCAAGTAGATGCGAGTATATACGGGTGAACGTTCCGTTTTATATGCTTAATTTTTCTCCGTACTCATCTCATCTTAAAAATAATGTTCACGAAAATTAAACTTATATCGTCTTTTATATCTGCTTGTATATATTTGGCTATAAAATGACAAGTACTTTATTATTTCTATCAAGCATACGTATAAAGATGTACGCTCTTTCAAAGTACATATATAAAATCTATTAATATACATCAAAGACTTGTCGAAAAATCGTAATAGTCCATTCTAAAATTAATTTTACTGCTTAACATACATATACGATCTGTTTTTTTAATTTTGTCGTGCGGCTAGCATTTACGATTAAAATGAAATTTTTGCAACAAGTAATTATAATATCGCTACTAAAAGTCACACAATTAATGTTTCGATACCTCCATAACGGAGTGCAGCTTTTTCGTTTATGTTTATTTTACATAAGTTAATAACATCTGGCCTCGATCGCTGCGTTCAAGCCCAATCCCGATCTTCGAGATTCATTTTTGTTGCGTCTCGGATGTCCCTCGCAGGGAGTCCCATCGACGAGTGTGTACAAAAGTGCATGATTAATGATGGCCGAGTATCGATGCATCTCGAAATGGAGGAGATCGAAGAAAGGACCTGGGAGAAGGGACCAATCACATGACGGAGCACAATCCTCGGGGCAGCTGCCCCGTAGGTTTTAATCGAGCCAATTTCGCCGAGTTCGTACTGAGCCTCGTTAACCAATCTACGGATTTTCCTCGCCAATCTAAAATCCTCTCCGTACTTGCGGCGCTACATGAAATGATTAACATGTTCAGAGAGGAAAGGCCGACTTGCGTACATCAGTTTATATATAAGTACCGTGCGGAAAAAAATTGTCTTTTGTCTTTAAAAGTTCCGGTTACAATTATATTCTTAATAATGGAACAAGCGTAATTTATTTTTGTTTTTTTTTAAATGACACGTAGTAAAAAATTTATTTTCGAAAATATACATATATATATAATA